TGGGAGGCGGAGCAGGGTCAGGAACTGGCGGGGGGCAGACAAGGCTCCAGAGAAGGAAAGGCTAGAGACGGATTAGTGTCTGACCGTCTGACCGGGGGACCCCGGAGGGCCGGGAAGCGCCCTCTTCCCGCTCCCCGTTCATGTCCTGCTTCCCTGGCAGTTTCCTGGGTTTGGGCAGCTGAGCTGGGGGTGGAGAGAGGTGGGGAGCCCCCTACCCCTCCCGCCCACCCCGCCCAGGTCTCCCCGGGGAGGGCTCCGTTGAGGACCAGTCATTGGCGGCTCGTTCGCATAAACCTTTTGGTTCCTGGCAGATCTTAGGGCCTCCTCCAGCTCTGAGGCCCCGCCACGGGGCTCAGGACCTGGGCACTGAGAGGGACACTTGTAGTGTTTTCTCCCTCTGGGTAACAGCTTCAGGGCTGGGTTCAGAGGTCAGATTTCAGAAAACGCTGAAATCATTCGCTCTTTCACCGAACACTTTAAAAGCACCAGCCATGGGCCTCGCGTCGTGCTGGTGCTGGGGACAAACGGGTACCGCAAGGCCCTTGCCCCGAGAAGCTCGCAGTTCAGTGGGGACATGGCCGTCTGAAAACCTGCTCCTCCGGTGACCCAGCAGACAGCACGCGGGGACCTTGCGGAGCTGTCACGGCAAGTCCGCGGCCTGGCGGCATCAACCGCACTTGACAGTTATGGAAACTAAGGTCACACGCTACGCGCTCCTGCCCACTGCGCTGAAGCAGGGCAGGAAGATGCGAGTTCCCTGACGTGCCAGCGTTCCCGAGAGACTGCCCTGGTCTCAGTGGCGGTGTGTGCTGGGCACGCTCGGGGGGCACCAGGGAGCCCTCCTGGGGGAGGTGGCTTTGCCCCGGGCTCCAGTCATTCTACAAATACGTGCGCATCCACGACACGTTGTGCTCTTGGTGATGGGGACACCAAGCAAACAGAGTCCTTGCACCGTGGACGCACTGGGCAGCGATGCAGGAGAGACCAGTCTTCAACGCCAAGTGCCCTGTGCCTCCAGAGCGTCCAGCTCGCCCTGGGTCTGTCTTCCGGGCGCAGACACCCTGCTACCTGGGGAATCTCAGGGCAGGTCTGGCCCTTCTACCCTGGGAAGTCCTTCCTAACGTCTGTCCTGCATGTCTTCCTGTCCCATAGCTCTCCCCATCCCCCATCTCATTCCTCTTTTTCAAGGCCAAATCGCACAGCAGTAACAGGGCAGACCGAAAGCGGCTGGCCCTTTAAGGCCACCTTCTTCCCCCCACGTGCCGTCTGGTTGGGTTGGCGACGCTGACGCACGCGTGACGTCAATGGCAGCTGGTGGAGTCTGGGCACGAGGAGCGAAGTTGGGATGGGGGGTGGGGGGCGAGAGCGAGAAGGCGATCATTTGCATTTAAAGGGGCCATTCCTGGGTTAGTGGGTAGGACTTTAAAGAAATGTGTGTCTGGCAAACTTTATGTCCTGAACGACAGGGCTATAAAAAGGCGTGGCACAGCTCAAGTCGCTGGTGACTCGAATTTGCGGTGTCAATTATGTCCTTCCGCGGAAAGAAGGAAATAGTCCGTCGGTGCCCGAGCTGGAAGCACGTGATCTGTAGGGGGCGGATGGGGGGGGCAGAAGGGAGGAGCTGGGGAGACGATAGTCAGGCTCCGTTTCAGCTGCCCCCACCCCCACATCCTGCCCACCCTCCTGCAGCTGCCACCACATCCTGCCCAGCCGGGGGCAGGGAACTCATGGGGGGGGGCACTGACCTAGGACCCGGCTTTGGCACCCCTTCCCTGCCCCTTTCAGTTCCAGGGTGGGGCCTGTGCCCTTTGCCCCTGGCCTGGCCCCTGGCACCCTGGCCCTGGGCTTGGGGCACAGCTTTCTGCCTAACTCCGCCCCCCTGCCTCTGGCCAGTGGGACTTGTCTGGAACCCCAGATAGGAGACCGATTCTTGGGGTAGCACAGTTATCAATGAAAAGATCGAGGTGTTCAGTGAGGTCTTTATAATCTTAACCCAGATACACAGTTACACACACACACACACACACACACACACACACACTCGCAGATTCATGTAACACGTTTGCTGTGCGCATTCCGGGCCAGGCCCTGCAACACCCTGAACACCCAGGCGGAGTTACCCTACTGCCCTCGAGCTCAGGACCTGGAAGAGAGGAGTCAATGAGAAACCCAAAGCATCAGTGCAAGACGGCACGTGCTGATGGGGTCGTGTGCAGAGTACAGAGCACAGTGCACAAGCAGCGTCACAGGACGCACAAGCATCACCAGCGGAGGGCCCTTGCCCTCACAAGCAGGAGGGAAGGTGGGGGAAGACGTCGGAGCATGTGCTGGGGTCACCAAACCTGGAAGAAGGATCAGATCAGACTCAGATCAGACGGAGGTGGAGGGCAGGGCTTGTCCAGGGGACCGTAGGAGGGTGAGAGGGGTCACCAAGCTTCCAGGCAGAGGCCGCAGCAGCAGCGATGGCTCCTCAGTTACGGTGCAAGGGCAGGGAGAGGCGGCCTTGGGGTGAGGAAGAGCTTTCCAAATCGGGGTGAACTAGGGATGCCTGGGGAGCGTGAACAAAGGCGGCTGCCGATGTCGCGTTGCCATATAGACTTACAAAGATGACACTGTACGGGGGAGCGGACAGATACTTCGGGTGTCCTTCTGATTCCTGTGGGATTTTACAGCAACTTCGGGCTGTTCGATGACTTTTCTCTAGGAAAGATGGGTTGGTAGCCAGAAGGGGAGAAGCAAAAATGAGAGCCAAGCGTCTGAGCCTGCTCAGGCATTTTCCACTTAGAGGACGGTGGGTTGGCTAGTCCAGGGGCTAGAAAGAACAGGTGTAGTGAGCCACTTTCGGATGCCTTTATGGTTTAATTTCCAGCAACATTACTCCCTGGATCCCTTCCGAGCCCTCCATGGAAGCGAAGGCCTCCCGTTTGTTCCTCGTCTTTTCCCGTGAAGTCCTCTCTCCCTGCCCCCGCGGCCCGCGTGTCCCCTCTTTCCCACTTGTAATATCTATGGATCAGCCTCTCCTACCCTCTCCTACTCGGTTCTTTACTGAATCATCATTTCACGTCTTAGGGTCCAGGACACTCCATCTCCCCCGCTGAGCGCTTCCCTGTCCTCCTTTCTCTTTCTGGCTCCTGGCCCTTTAACACCCTCCCAGGTGACTCACCTTCCTTCCTCATTCCTTTGTTAAGGACCCAACATTCCAAGGCAGGGAGGACCAACTGGCCAATCACAGCCCTGGCAAGCCTGCCTCCGGCTCGAGATTGGCTGGAGCTGTGGTTGGCGGGAGGCTGACGGCACAGATCTGTAGGAGGTTGGGGAGGGGGTTTCGGGGAGTCGGCCCTGGGCCAGAATTTGTTCAAGGGCTGCTTGTGTTTTTCAGAAAATCCTTCTATTACAGCTAGCCTAGAGGGGTCTCTGGCTTAGAGAGCCTCAAAACTGGAGGCTGGCTGAGAACCTGGCTTTCTCGGTCCCCTGGGGATCTGGCCGCCCCTGCACGCTTTGGCTTTTTCTGTGACCTGGGACCCCGGGGTCTGGGGCTGTTCCCAGGCCTGCTCCTAAGGAGTCTTTTCCAGCATCCCTCAGCCTCTCCAGTCTCAACATTCTGCTTCCCGACGTCGGAAACAGCCGGAAAATAAACACCCTGATGACTAAACGGTTTCTCCAGCTCTAGCCTGGGGAAGCACTAAAAATAGAGGCCACAAGTGAGGGGAGGTTCCCCACTTGAGGGGGGGGGCCACTTTCCCATCCTGCTACTGCCACAGCCCCAGGCCTGGCACAAGGCTCCGTTCTTCTCCGAGCGCTTGGGGACAGGGCGGTTGGGTTTCCCTTGCCTGCCCTGAGGTCCTTCAGGCCAGCTAGTCGTGCCTGGCAGGGGAAACCGACGGCATCTTCTGGGGCTGGGGCCCCGTCTCCCAGGTCTGACAGGGAACTAAGAAGCTGCATTTGGGGACAAAGTGGGACACTGTTTCAATCAGGTTTCCTGAAGGAGGGGTCAGGTGCAAAGGTTGGAAACAGGCCGAGGCCATAGCAGCCTGCTGGCCCCCTTCTTAGGACATACACATAAGCCTCCAAGTTGTTTGCAGAGCAAGCCCACTGAGTTGCCTCCTTCGACACTTACATGGGATAATGAGCCTGCAGGGGGTCTTTGCAGTCCGGACCTTGAGTTATTATGCAGCGTGAAGCACTGTTCTTAGCAGTCTCCTCTTATGGACTAATTTAATCTTCACGCCAAATTTGTGAGTCAGGTACTGGTAGCACCATCTCCATTTCACACACAAAGGCCCTGTGTCCGTTTAGTAAACGGTGGAATAAAGGTGTGAACCCAGGGCGGCCTGACCACGCCCACGTCAATGCTGCCCATCACGGACATTTTGGTCTTTCTCTGCATATACTAGTCTCTTCAGCACTTAACCCGAATCAAGTCTTTGTCCAGTAAATCAGTCACAGCCGGACAGACATCAGGGTGTAGGAAGGACTGAGTTCCCTTCCGTTCTGCAAGGTTCTTTGAGCTCTAAGCCAGATTATTCCATCATTTCCTCAAGCCCCAGGCAGAACACAGAATTTAGAGGTAACAGAGATGCTGGAGAGGAAGTCTGATGGGGCAGTTGGCCAGTAGGCATGGCACCCACACTCTCGTTGGAGGGCACCTAAGATTTGCCGCACTCTAGAGCAACCAGAAATTTTTGAATTTTGTATTATTTTTTTAAGGGTTACTACTGCTTCTTTAATAAGATGCTTTGGGGCGTCTCCTGTGCTGGGGGAAATTAGGGTCCCGCCCCTTTAAATTGCCCGGGTTGGCTCTAAGTGCTCTGGGGCCGCAGGCACTGGGGATTAGGTCACCCAAGAACTATGAGCTGTCGCTTTAAATTGCTGGGCGTCTGCCGAGCCAGGCCCGGGTAGGGAAGGGGGCCTGTCACAGGTAGGGGGAGCAAACGAGCTCCCAGGTAACCCCCAGAAATGAACGTGTCCCTTTAAGTGGGGGCTTCGGCACACACTAAGTGGGAGAGATGGAATCTTTTCACCACTTAGCGTCTACCCTTAATTTATCTGTTTAGACTCTAACCTCCCCACTCTCCTGGGGCTTGGGGGGAGCTGTCGGGGTAGCGTGCGTGTGTGTGCGCGTGTGTGCGCGCGCGTGTGTGTATGTGTGTGTGTGTGAGAGAGAGGGCGCACGGCGCACGTCACCTCCCCGGAAAGGCCCTCCTTAAGCGCACGGTGGCAGCGGGGCCGGGCGGCCGTCCGCGACCTCCGCGGGGGCAGCAGGGGCGCGGGCCGATCCCTTCAAAGGCCTCTGGGTCTCGCCCCCCGACTCCGCCTCGCCGCGTCCCTGCCTCCTCCCTCCGGGCCG